CAAAAGTCAGCAGGGAAGACACCGAACCGTTTAGCAGAAAATTGTCCAGTTGCCAAAAACTATGGTCTCTTATTTCTTAGGCCATTCGGCCAGTTCTTTTTTGTCCCTACCTGATTAATCGCAGTGTTTAAGGATTTTTTTAAAAATTTAATCTGCGGGCAAAGTTTATTTCAAAGTAATGAAAGGTTACGCTCAATAGAGCGGTGTCGATTTTCTAGCTGAGCGCCGAATTCTAGGCGTATTTGAATCAAACATTCGTTTCGGGATTAGGATTCAAGATTTCTCTCTAACGAGACGTTTTTATCTCTCACGCCAGATTTCCGTTTGTTAGTCATGCTCGTTATGTCATTCGATAACCTAATTCGTTGAGTTCATTTAATTTAAAGGATGTCTGGTGAGGCGCACACAGATACAAGGCAAGGATCTCGTTATTTTAGTTGTCTCTTAAAAATAAAAATGGCCTCCATTCAACTGATATGTTTGTTTGTTTTTTTTTATTAAAACGGGGAGAACAATTGAAACATCGACGTCAAGAAATTGTATTAATCTGTAAACTAGTTTTTTCAAACCTGTTTGGATTGACATTGGAGTAAGTACCAAACTTTCAAGGGAAGGAAGGAAGGAAGGAGAGAAGGAAGGAGGGAAGTAGAAGAAGAAAGATAGAAGGAAGGAAAGAAGGAGGGGAGAAAAAAGAAAAAAGATAGAAGGAAGGAAGGACGGGAGGAAGGAAGGAAGAAAGGAGGGTAGAAGGAAGGAAGGAAGGGAGAAGGTGGGAAGGAAGGAGGGAAAGAAGGAAGGAGGGAAGGAAGAAGGAAAGAAGAAAGAAAGGAAGGAAGGAAGGAAGGAAGGAAGGAAGGAGGGAAGGATAGAAAAGGAAGGAAGGAAGGAAGGAAGGAAAGAAGGAAGGAGGGAAAAGAAGGAAGGAGGAAGGAAGAAGGAAAGAAGAAAGAAAGGAAGGAAGGAAGGAGGGAAGGATAGAAAAGTAAGGAAGGAAGGAAGGAAGGAGGGAGGGAAGGATAGAAAAGTAAGGAAGGAAGGAAGGAAGGAAGGGGAAGGTGGGAAGGAAGGAGGGAAAGAAGGATGGAAGGAAGGAAGGAAGGTAGGAAGGAAGGAAGGAGGAAAAGAAGGAAGGAAGAAAGGAAAATGAGAAGAAAAGTGGAAAGAAAGGAGAGACGAAGTAAATGGAAAACGGGAGGAAGAGAGAAGGAAGGAAGAAAGGAAGGAAAGATGAAAGGAACGAACGAACGAACGAAGAAAGAAAATAGGGAAGGTTGAGAGAGGAAGAAAGAGGGATAAAGAAGAAGGAAGGAATGAAGGAAGGGAGTAAGTAAGTAGGGAGGAGAAACGAAGAAAGGGGAGAGAGAGGAAAGAAGGAAGAATGGGAATGTGGAATGGAGAAAAGGAATGTGGAAGAGAGGAAGATGAAAAAAGGAAGGAAGCAAGAGAGGGGAGAGGGGAGTGGGGATGGTTGGGTGAGGAAGGAAGGAAGGAATGTGGAAAGAGAGGGAGATGAAAGAAGGAATGGAGAGAGGGACGAAGGGTGGAGCAAGGAAGGAAAAAAACGTGGAGGTGTGGTAAATGACCTTGCTTCAGCAATTAGTTGGAGATTCATCTCCAGCTGTGCTGGTCGAACTCTCTGCCTTCGGGTGGAGAGGAACCCAAACGAGGCTTTGTCTGGGGTGGTAGACAGTTACCCGACCCCGTGTATACGGGGGTCTACGGGGAAATTTTGCTCGAGCCTAACGGGCTCGGTTTTAACCCCGCATTAAAAACGGTCTTGTGCCACATCCTACCTCGCGTGGAAGCAAGGTAAATAAACTTGCTTCGGCAATTAGTTGTAGATTCATCTCCAGCTGTGCTGGTCGAACTCTCTGCTTTCGGGCGGAAAGGATCCCCAGACGAGGCTATGTCGAAGGGCGGAGTCTCTTCTCGGAAAAACAGCTACCCGAACTCGTTTTATACGGGAAAATTTTTGCCCGAGGCTATGGTTGGATATCCCACGTGAAATTCGACCTTGTGCCACATCTGACCGCGTGGGGCGGTTAGCAGATATCCTTGCTTCGGGAATTATTAGCCTGCCACCCGATTCCCTGTCTTTCAATTGTGTATTCTCTTTTACAATTAACCTCGCTTCTTTCATTTCCGCGTGTGTTGCTCTTCCTTCACTCGAGTAGCATCTTTGTTTGTCTGTAACCTCTTCATGGATAAAACAGCATTATTTGATACCACGGAATTTTAATAAATGGCGGGGTGTCAAATAAAGTCTGCAGGAGTGGGGGGGTTAATTTTCATAATTCTCACTCCCGTTTAGTCAAAAGTCAAAGACCGATTTGAATTTTTTATGTGCCGTGTTCCTTCAATAAGTGGGCGATCATGGCTCTCCACTTCTCCCTATCCCTTGTAGCTCTCAATAAGCTTTATCCCTTTGCTACTTCCCCCAGGCCATGCTCTATCATCCACTTGCTTAAGCTTGCTAGGTATGTCATGCTTTGCTTTCCGTTGTCTCTCTTTCCTTCTATTCGACCTGTGAGTATCAGATTCTCCAAGCCCTCTTTTCTCATTATGTGTTCTAGAAATTTCAGCTCCCTCTTTCTGGTGTTAAGTAAAAGCTTCCTCTATGTTTGCATCCTCTCCAAAATCTCAGCGTTGCTCACACACTAGGTCTATGATATCCTCAGCATCCTTCTGTAGAACCATGTCCCCGTTGCCTCGAGTTTCTTCATCTTTGAGGAGACCGTCCAACATTTGCTGTCGTAAAGGAGGACAGATGACACATAGCAGCTTAATACTATTTTCTGTCATCCACTTGCTCAAGCCCGCCACGTATGTCATGCGACGCTTTCCCTTGTCTCTCTTTTCCTTCTATTCGACCTGTGAGTATTAGATTCTCCAAGCCCTCCTTTCTCATTATGTGTTCCAGAAATTTCAGCTGTCTCTTCCTGATGTTAAGTAAAATCTTCCCCCTTGTCTGCAAAACCTCGCCGTTGCTCACACGCACGGTAACGTGGAGCCCAAACCCCGAACTGCGAGTAGTTCTATCTGCTCTTGCTTTTTAGGGACTGACCCTGATCCGAACCATTTAAGTGTTTTTAGATTGCTGACAACTAATTATAGTCTGTTCAGATTTTTTGCCAAATCAGATTAAAGCTTTTAGTCATTGTTGTTCAATTAAAAATAAATAAAAAAAGATTTTAACAACAAAAGAATAATTTAAAATAAATAAATCCTGAGAAGCAAATCATTTGCCGGTCAATCTTCTTGACATCAAACAACCTTCGATACGATTTGTTTTTTTCTTTTAACCTTACGTGACAGACGCTACATTAACACTGTAAGGTTATTGTTTTTGTAAGGATTGATTGAGACATTCGTTATGTCGCCTAGGTGTGGCGTTTACTCTGCAGCCATCGAAAAGATTAAAGAGTTAATATCGGCGCCGGATTGTGAATTCTATGACATCGACTCAGAACGAATCAAAAAAATAATCTAAAATATTCGTTTATTTCAAAAGTAGCAGGGTGAGTTAAAAAATAAAGCAATTTCTTTTATTATATAACAAATAAGGAATATATAGCTATATACATCATAGGTTCCTAACCTGACGTCTCGATATAGTCAGTGCCTCTCTCAATGACGAAAGAGAGTTCCAGAAGTGTGGGAGAAGAAACTATTAGCATAGAACTTGCGGTTACATCTAGCCATTTCAACGGTAATATTGTGAGACCTTACCGCCTATCTACCCCAACGTTTAACTTCATGAATTCTAGGTACCATAGAGAAAAGTTCATCAGAACAATTAGCAAGAAAGTATTTATAGAAAAGGCACAAGAAGATCTATTATGGCGGTAGGAAAATGACTGAAGCCGAGATGCCAGGTCAGTATCAATAACGTTGCAGAGCATTCTTTGGATATTATCAAGAAATTATATATATATATATATATATATATATATATAATGAAAAGGCTTAAACACTAATATTCCATGGTCATAATTTATTCCATTGGAATCGTAAATACGATCCGATTCAACAGACCTACAAATTCAAAAAGAAAATAGAATTTACGATTCCAATGGAATAAATTATGACCATGGAATATTGGTGTTTAAGCCTTTTTATTATATCCTTACTCTGTCCTGGACATTGAGTTCTACCGGGATTCTATCCTCTTGGAATTATTTTTTATACAAATATATGTATATGTATGTATGTATGTATATATATTTATATATTTTAGATATATGATTGCATATGTATGTGTATATTTACCACTAATATTATCTATCTATCTATATATATATATATATATATTAAATGCAAGGAGAATGGTAGATTTTGTAAGTTTGCAAAGTCATTGAAATAGATTCTGTCGAGAAAAATTTTCTGGCGCAACACACTGAACCAACATTGCTATGAGGAGAGCTAGTAATTGATTTAATGGAAAATTTCCACTTCACATCAGTGGAAGAGGTTAGTTCAAGATTTCGCAATTAGTCACTCTCCAGGAGGTTAGCATCAGCCATAATGATGGCAGGCTTAAGAGATTCTCTCAGATGATTAAACGAGAACAGTTTGGCTTTGGCATGCGATGGCGAAAAAAAAAAGAGGTCTTCTGCACCCGAATTCCAAGTAAGTCAAGAATTTGTCCAGCTCTACTTTTTTCACGAGATCTCTCTAGATTCGAACCTGTTCAAGTGTTTTTAAATGCTGACAAAAAATCGGTTTTTTTTTTTGTTTTCCATTTTTTTTTTTTTTTATTTTTTGTCATCTTACATTAAAGCTTTTAGTTAATATTTTTTAATTTTTAAATTTAAAAATAAAAAAAAATTAGCCACAAAATAAAAAGATCAACATCTTCGCTGGTCAGTTTTGCTGATATCAAAAGCATTGTCAAGATTATCCCTTGATTTTAATCTAATTTAAAGATGTTATACCAACACTGTACGATTTTCTTTTTAGAATTGAGATAAGCTTATTGCCGCCATCTTTAATAAAGTCCA